TGGAACATTTTCCAAGACCACTAACTGGATAAGACCAGGTGCACATTGGAACGCTTCATTCAAAATGAATCCCCTTGTGCTGAATCGCCCAGCCTGCATTCGAGGCTGCCCTTCCATTTAGCGCATTTGCATTATAGTGATGGGCAGAACGAATATGTAATTGCGTACCCAGAAGCTCAATCCAATCTTGAACGTTGTTTCTTCGGTATTCAGCGCTTGGAGCACGGGGGTGAATATGCATGCCAGTACAAGAACGTCTATAGATCTTTAATGCAGGAATAGTTTCCGAAGCTAAATGGCAAACAATTTCCATCATTGCACCGGCGTGCATACCAAACAGATTGCGAATTGCAACAACTTGTGAAAAATGTCTGGAAAGCTAAGTTGATTGTGTTGTTGCTATGGTAACCTTGTCCTTGTCCATAACAGTGACGTCAAAAAATAAAATTCCTGCAACGTCATACGCCTAATTAATTTGGCCTTTTTTGGTGGAAGGGGCCCTATCCGCCTCCAATGTTTGTCTCGCTCGCATCTTTAAAACAGTGGACCCTATTTTTGTTAAGGAATATGCTTTGCCACACCAAATCAATTCGTAAACCCCCATTAATGCTTATCGCTGGCTTTCGTCCCATTTCCAATATCATCTTGAAAGGCTTCTTAAATTGAAGAAAAAAAGCATATACATGCCACTCATGCATGGCATTCAATGCAGTCTCAGGCTCAGTCAAGACCACCATCTGTAACTGCGACAGGAGCCGACTATTCAGAAGCGAACGTGAGGACGTTTGCACTGAGCAGATCTGCGGAACAAGCGAAAGACAAAGGTCGTCTGCCCTTCTGCTTCCGGTAGCGCGGCCGGCAGGTGACCTTGAACGACCAGTTTCACCGTACGCTGCACCCCCCCCCCCCCCCCATGCAGCATTCTGCTGCCGTCGCCCATGACCGACTTTCCCACGCGGCGTCTCCCCACCGCTTCCCGAGGCTCGTCTCTGCCCCCTCGAATGAATGAGCGCCACCTGCCCGCGCGCCCCTCCACTCACCCTCCGCCATCGGTCATGAGCCCCAGATAGCAACGACCGGGCGGCGGCGGCGGTCAGCGACCGCGTCAGGTCGGAGACCAGTTTGGAGTCCATCGGCCGAGCGCCGGGCGCGGGGTGATGAACTGAGAACGAGGCCGGCGCCTCCGCGGGCGTCGCGCGCCCCACCCCGGGGCCGGCGTCCCGCCACGCGCCGGTCCGGTCCCCGGTCCCCGGGCCCGCCACTCAACCCGCGACTAGGTGGACGCTGCGCCCCACCCGCGTGCCCGAAACGCGCTCCGGAGCCAGCCGTGACCCCCGAGCGGCCGTTTTTGCCGCGCCGCCGCCGCGGCCTTGAACTTGACAAGTCGCGGCCGCTGCTCAGCTGATGCGCCGGCGTCATCGGCGCTCAGTATTGCAGCGGCAGCCGGCGGCGCCGTGTGTGTCGTCCGTCGTTCGGCCGGCTCGACCCGGCCCGGAATCCCCCGCGCCCGTACGGATACCGCAGGTCAGCAGGCGGGACGGGTGCGCGTTTGCTGCGGGGGGATTGCGGCGGTGGTGGTGTTGGTGTTTTGGTGTTGGTTATTTTTGGGTGATGTTGCGTTCGGAATCGTGACGGAAGTTTATGGCGTCGGCCGAAAAATGCTGTCCCGGGCTGGGTATTTTGAATTTCGAATACTTTAACTTAGTCATTTGAATACGGTGCCGCTAGGGTTTGACTTCATTACTTTGCATTAGTACCTACAGTACGCCTTAACTATTCTCAGCCTTTTCTTAATAAGTTTTATAGTCGTGATACTCCGGACTGGTGAGAAAATTATCGTTGTTTTCTCACCACCTTGTACAAAACCATGTCACCGATATCCTTTATCGTCAAACACTGTGTTCCGCACAGAAGCAATGTTTTAAGAAACTACCATGGTTTTGGTCATTTTCCCACCGGGCTGTTCAAGGTGACTGTTGAAACCATTGCCCGGCGACGCCTTCAAGAAATCGTTAGAGTATTTTCTTCCTCCGGTAGGAAATCATCGTCCACTGTGCTGGGAAATGTGACAGTTGTTGGCTCGAATGTTTTATAGTCGGCTGTTGCAAATCGCATCCAGTGTTCTGCCACTTTGCCCCTTCAACAGTGATGGATGCTGTTTGCTTCTTCAAAGCTATTGGGCCCCAGCGGCCAAGTTCTTCGCCAATGTAATGAAGTATCCACGGCGAATTTTTTAGGTGGTCATTTGTCTAAAATGTCTAATATAGTTCAATAGCATGATAGATCACAGCACGCATTGATGCTGGATGTGATCGATTGTCAAATGTGATTAATTGTCGAAGTTAAAAGTATGGAGGCAGGTAAATTTGACCCAACACAGTGGAAAAGGTATGGCTTCCTTTCATTTCACTGAATGGTACTTTTAGGGAAGGGTACTGCAACGCCCAGGCAGAGAAATTATACCTATGTTTTGTTTGATTATATCGTTTTCTTTTACAATTCTGGACATAATGAACGCAAAGTCTGAAAAACAAACGAAACGGTGAATACAGAATAAAATGACTTAGAGGAAACGTACACCGGGCATTCGGGATAAAGCTCTTCACGTTCTACAGCGGAAACACGTTTACTTCTTTAACCACTTTGGGTATGGATCATGTCAATCCACTGTGCTTGCGACACATTTTGGAATATCCTCTGCTTATCGGTACAGTTGGTCAACCGGATACAGCAACCCAGATTTGGGTCGACACAAATGCCGACATTTGTATGCTTGCTCTATCGCTTGTTTACCGGCGTGAACGACTCTGTAGCGTCCTGTAAAATCGTTACCCCTGCATAGTTAAGAGCCACAGGCAGCACTATCTCCAGCTACCGAACAGAACAAATCCAGCACCGAAGGATCGATGCCTGCCCGGCCGCTTGCGATTCATAGCAGCGTTGGCCCGCGCCGGCATCCGGCACTTCCATACCGGCCGCACCTCCCCGGCAGCCAGAGCTCCATCCAGCACCTGCACCACCCTA